CACACACACACACACACACACACACACACACACACACACACACACACTGGTCTAAGTCGCAGTGATTTCAAGACATGGCTTACAGTGCGTCTAGCTGAGGGCATGTTGGTCCAGAATTGGGATAAAGGAGGAGACATAAAAATAATTTCTATCTCTAACCCTCAGAGCCAGCCCAGTGGCCCAGGCAGAGCAACTAGGGGGCTCACCACCCTCCAAGGTGAAGGGGCCCAACAAGGAGGTGCTGAGTTACCTTGTCTCTCACTGCCCTTTTCCAGCATCCCCTCCCTCCCTGCAGAAAGGCCCTTTTACCTCTCACAGAGCCCACTGGGATGGGGCGCCGTTTCCCTGGTGACGGAGGTGTGATAGAGGCCACCCGTCGAGGATGTGGTGAGACCTGAAGAAAGAAGAGTAAGTCTGGCACAGCACCATTCCAAAGCTGCTCAACCCAACCTCAAAAAGAAGGTGCCAGCAGCTCCCCAAAGCCTCCTTTCCAGCCCTACCTTGATGACCAATCCTAGCCCCCAGCCTGTTACCATTCCCACCACAACTCCCCATCCAGGGCTCAGTGAGCACAGAATCACCTTTACTTGAATACTTTCAAAGACAGGGAAGTTGCTCCTTCATAATGCAGCCCATCACACTGCTGAACAGTTCTGATGAATGAAAAGAGATCTCTCGGTTCTTTCTTTTTCTCCAGATTTATGATATCACTGGTATAGGGAACTCCCAGTATGGAAATCCACTCTCCCAGTACAATTATGCCTTGCAACTTATAGTCTGAGTCACCCGAGGCACTGACGGGTTAAATGTATTGTCCAGGGTAATACAGCCAATATGTGTCCAAAGCAGATTTGAACTCAGGTCTTCCTGACTCTGACACCAGCTTCCTCTCCCCTCCACTAAGGTGCCTAATTCATTATATTTAAGCCAAAACATGCCTCCTATAATGACCCCCCACTGCTCCTACCTTTACTCTCTTGGGCTAAACAGAAATAGTTTAATGCAACCCTTAACAGAGCAACCCTTCGAACCCTTTCATATTCCCCGCTACATCTTCTCTACTCCAGTTACTTCAAATGATCCCTACACAGCATGAAATCCTTTGCCCTTCTTATATTGGCTACCTCCTCTGGACACGCCACAAGTTTTTAACATCCCTTCAAAATCTGAATTGACTCCCATGTATGGTCTGACTAGGGCAAAGCACAGCAGGACTACTGGTTCCCTCAGACTGGACACTATGCCTCTCTTAATGAAGCCCAAGATCATATCAGCCTTCTGGGCTATCATAATACACAACTGACTTATTGGAAACTTGCAGGCCATTAAAATCTCCTGATCTTTTTCACAGGACTGTTGTACAATAATAGGAATAAGAAGAAGAAGAAGCATTTATATGGCACCTACTATGTACTAAACACTTTAAAAATATTATCTCATTTGAACCTCTCAACAACCCAGGAAGACAGATGCTACTATTATTTCCATTTTCCAGCAGAGAAAGCTGAGTCAAATAGCGACCTGCCCGGCTAGTAAGTGTCTAAGGCTGGATTTGAACTTACGTCTTCTTGACTCCAGGTCCAGGTCCAGCTCTATCCACTGGGCCACCTGATTGCCTTCTGCCTCACCTCCTTCACCAGTACAGGTGATTTTTAAAAAATTCCAGGATAAGCTTTCTGTTCGTCCTATTATATTTCATTTTATTAGCTGCACTCTATTGTTCTAGCCTGCTGAGGCCTTTCTGGATCCTAATTTTGTCATTCACCTGGAGTTCTATCTCTCCCAAGTAATCTGGAAACCTGCCATCTATGACTTTATCCAAATCTAAAGCATTTACTGAAGACATACCTGGCTAACATAGGTAACGCCCTGCTCCTTGGGTCCAGCCATTCTACCAGTTTCAAATACACTTAACTTGACCATTATCTCTCCATCTGGTTCAGAAGGGCATCATGAGAGACTGGCAAAAGCCTTGCTGAAATCTAGGCATGTGTATAATGTCAGCTGCATCAGACTTATCAGTCTAAGAATCCTGGCAAAGGAGAACACCAGGCTAGTCTGGTACGACCTGTCCTTAGAACTCTTGCCAGCCACTAGTGATCCCCACTTCCCTTTCTAAGAGCTAACAAACGATCTAATCTAGAATCTTGCCAGTGTTAGACACTAAGCTTTCAGGGTCTGCAGTTTCTAGTTAGAACCATGTCCAGGCCTTGCTAACTGGGGACTGGACAGCCTAGACCCTTTAATTCAAAGGTTCTTAACCTTTTTGTGTCCTGGACACCCTCTGGCAGTCTGGTAAAGAACTATGGTCCCTTTCAAGAAAAATGTTTTTAAATAATTGAAGATAATACCAAATTTCAGTTAGAGATTCGTGAAAGTAAAAATATGATTTTTTTCCCACCCAAGTTATAGCTTCCCTAAAATCTATCCCTAGATAGCCTTGGTAATATGTGGACTCCAGGTTAAGACCTCTTGCTTCATCTAAACTTACAGAACCTGCTGATTAACACTTAATGATTCCTGATCTATTCCCCAATACCTGGTAGGAAGCACTATCCTCTCCCAGGAACTCAGCGCTGGGCAGGCTGTGTTGCCTCTCATAGCCAGTCCTGCAAACTCCATTGGGCTGCCTAGTGGTAGCAGCGTCCAGGTGGTGGTCACTGGACGAAGGGGTCATGGTCACTGGGCTTGGGGTGGCGTGACTTTTGCGGAATAGTGTTTCCTTCCTGTGATGGATCAGCTTCCTGCAGGGAGAGGAAAGTGTAGATAGCTGGCATTGAGGCTCCAGCCTTTAAGGAACTTCATCCTGAGGTAATAAGGCTGGCTGAAAAGAAAAGAAGTGAGATGAAGTTCTTCGTAGCAGTGAAAATCTTCTGTTATTACACCTGTTTATGTAAAGGGATATACATGATATCTGCTTTAGAGGCAGGATGGTGTGCTGGAAAGAGCCCTGAAGTTAGAGTCTGAGCACCTGGGGTTTGATCCCAGCTTCGCTATTACTTGGCTGCATGACTTTGTGCGCTTCTGTGAGCTGTTTGGATCCTATTGTCGAGGTAATGGGAAAAATGTATTCTGTCCCCACCAACGCTGGGGACCTACCCCAACACTATACCAAGGGAAGAAAGAAGTACTCACTGAACGATCAAGGAATGAAGCGTAAAATGGCAGAGTTGCCTCTGACACACAATGGCTAGTGACTGCGAGCAAATCACTTAATTTATCAGTGGGAGAGGCAACTCTAAATGGCACTCTTTGTGAGAACCTGGAGGAAGGGAGCTAGATGACCTTGGCAAGAACCACGTGCTATTCAACCTCTGAGCCTGTTTCCTCCTTCAGAAAACTGGGACAATAATACACATACTCTCTACCTCCAAAGAGAAATGTGAGGAAAAGTGTTTTATAAACTTTAGCATGCCCTTAAAATCCCTGCCTGATACCTCATAAATGAGGAGAAGGGGATCCTAAGATCTCCAAGACTTTGCCAGTGAGGCACACATTTTGGAAGGTACTGCCAAGCTACAAGGTACAAACTTGTGATGGAGTGAGCATCTGTCCACTATGGACCAACTCAGCTAAATTTAGAGAGGTTTATCACCAGGTTGGCTATAGGGTGATGCATTTTTTTTGTCTAAAACTCTCAAAGGGCACCTACCAAATTACACAGGGGCTGGAATCTGCATCAGTGGAGAATGGGCCCATGTTCTAAAGTATTCTTTAGTGACAGGAACTAGAGATTCATGGGGCTCAGAACCTGTCAGTCATCTTTGCTCAGCCAGTGAGCTGAAGAGTCTCAGACTCCCAGTGATTCGAGGTTTCTCTGTGTGCACTTCTGTGAGCTATTTGGATCCTATTGCTGAAGTGATAGGAAAAAATTTATTCTGTCCCCACCAACTCTGGGGACCTACCCCTAACACCACACCAAGGGAAGAAAGAAGGATGATCAAGGAATGAAGTGCAAAATGGCAGATTCCTGACTGGCTGAGAGGGAGATGGAAATTGTAGAATGGACCTAATGAGCTTAATCTAGAGTATTCAGGTGGACCAATCCCAAATCAACGTAAGGGTTTTGTGGCACTTTTGTGAGAACCTGGAGGAAGAGAGCTAGATGTTCTAGGCCTTGGCAAGAACCACGTGCCAAACTCCCGGCTAGGTGGGAAAACCACAGCTTGACTGACAAGCTTACAGAGTCTAGGTACCACCTAGTCTGAGAATGGATTGTTTTCTCTTAATCTATAGTTCAAATTATTATTATTATTATTACTTATTATAACAATAATAACACCACAATTTCTTTCTATAGTGATTTAAAGATTACTAAGCACATTCCCCACAACAACCTTCTAAGGTTAGAAGTACAGGGAACAACATTCCTATGGCAAAGTGGATGGGGCTGGCCAGCCTTAGAGTCAGAAGGCCCGAATTTAGGTCTTGCCTCTGACACACAATGGCTACTGCCTCTGAGCAAATCACTTAATTTATCAGTGGAAGAGGTAACTCTCTAAGTATATAACTTGCAGAGAAGGCACCTACCTGCATTGGTAGAGGCAGTTTCCTCACCAGGGAAGTCCCTATACCAATGAAATCCTGAGTCTAGTCCCTACAGTAATATAAATCAGGAAACAGGCCCAAAGGATTTAAATGATTACTATGACTGTATATTTAAAAAATTCCTAGGGTCTAGACTGTAAATAACTGTATATTTACCATATAAGATTAGAAAGGCTAATAAAAAGAAGAGTCAGGAATCTAATCCTAACCTGATCTAACAGACCGTGCTGAATTTGTAGATCACAAAATCATATGATTTAGAGCCAGGAAAAACATTAGAAAGAATCTAGTTCAATCCTCTCATTTTACATATGAGGAAACTGAAGCCCATGAGATGGATGCCCATGAGAAGCTTATGAAGAGACTGGCCAAGGTCACACAGGTAGTAAGTGGCCAAGCTGGGATATGAAGTCAGGGCTTGTACCATGGTATTCCCTCGTAATAAAGCCTAGGAAATCCATTTTTGTGTGGAGGATCCATGTGGGAACAAAGGTGAGAAGGGAAAGGAGAAGTGGATGCCAGACTTGAGAACCCAGTTACAATGGCAGCAGCAGGAAATGGGAGGGATACTTAGGGATTCAGTAGAATTATTCTTCAAGGCCACTGTCCCAGCACAGAGGCCAGAAAATAAAGTCTCTGGCTGGAAGTGAGATGTCAAGGAAGAGTTAGTGGAAAGGGAAAAACCTTGGGCCTCCTGAATTCAATCAGATTCCAGGATGCCCAATCAGTTTGGTGAAGCTTACATTTACCACCCAGGGCTGGGTCCCTTCACTATCTCTCCAACAGAAATGGAAAACTAGGTGGATGGGACTGTAGCACCCGATTTGAAACAGAAGGAGAGTAGAGAGTTGGAGGGGATGAGTATGGGGGAAAGGAAGGATGGACAGAAGAGGAATGTGGTTCCTAAAGGAACCAGCAGTAAACCTCTTAGGATCTGACTTATTTCAAGGATTCCTGGGGATGAGAGAGAAGCTCAGAAGCTGCATTTCATTCAGCAGGAGAGCTAGGGGACAAGAAATTGAAAAAAAAAACCAGAGAGGCTGGAGGGCATGTTAAAGAAGGAAAGGAACAGGGAGAGTGACTGGGGGAGTCAGCTCCAAAATGAATGGAGAAATATCATGGGAAGATTTTAAAAACATTAAGGGTCCCTCTTCCTCTTCTCTAGAATTTTATTTTTGGTTTTTTGGGCTAGACAGTGGGGTTAAGTGACTTGCCCAGGGTCACATGGCTAAATGTTATGTGTCTGAGGCTAGATTTGAACTCAGGTCCTCCTGAATCCAGGGCCAGTGCTATATCCACTGTGCCACCTAGCTGCCCCTTAGAATATTACTTTTGTTTTACCCTGGTGAATTACTTACTTTCTGTTTTCCAACAGGAATATGCCCAGCAGCATTTGTTATGGCTATTAATAGCAGTTCCTGTTTTTCTAACGCTTTAGGTTTACAAACTACTTACCTCATACAAACCTTTTGAAATACATAGTGTAAGCACTGTCCTTCCCATTTTGCTAAAAAAGAAACTGAGGTCCCAAGAAGGAAAGTGACTTGCCAAGGGTCAGGGAGCTATTAAGCACTGAAGCTGGGACCCATGGCATCTTCTGATGCCAAGACTAGGATTCCTTCTACTATATAATGGGATCTCAATTCCACCACAGCTATATATGGTCTTCTAATATAGCATGTCCCTAAAACTCATCACATTACTTCCCATACTCCTGAGTGGTTGGGGGTCACAGGACCCTAGGATTTAGGACTAAAAGGGATACCAGATGTCATCTAATCCAATCTCATAATTAAAACAAAAAACAAATGAGGAAACTGAGGCCAAAGTAGGTGAAGACATCTGCTAACTAAAAAATGGCAGAGCTGGGATTTGAACCTTTTTTATTACACAAATTCTCCTTTTAAGTCAAACTGGCCTCCCAGCTTTTCACCATCAAGGACATTTCATCATTTAGCTCAAATCTCTGCATATGCAGGCTCCCATCCCCCAAATCCACTTCCTTCTTCCCCTCTCCTCTTCTCGGAATCCCTAGTTTCCTTCAAGGTTCAACTCAGACACTACCAGGCAGTGGTGCCTGCTATCACACAAATAAAGCCTTTCCAAGAGTCCCTCAGTTATGAACCTTCTCCTCTTCCTGAAACTACTCTGCATTTATTTCACATATACTTTGTATACACTTATGTACACTTTGTGTACCTGTAACTTCCTCAAGGCCAGGTTTTTGTCATTGTATCCCTAAGAACAGAACCTTGAGTATCTAGTAGGTGCATAATAAATGCTTGTGGATCAAAATGAATGAACCTCCAAATTCAGTGCCTCTTCCATGACACCATGTGGCTGCTGCTGATGTGTCCCCCCACCCCTTCCAGGCCTTGCACCAGCCTCTGGGGATGGGTGACATGACAACCATCCCTGACCCAGGCAGCGCAGGGTTGTGAACAGCTATGCTCCAAAGACTCCCCAGAGGCTCCTTGGAGCTCTACAGAGAGGATGCCCTTGGCTAGCCCCTATCCACATACAGAGGCTTTGGTGAGGGACTTTTTTGGGTGGCAGAGGAAGGGACAAATCTCATGTCTACAGTTCCAGCCCATAAGCTTCCTGACCTATCTTATAAACCTCCACAATACCTCCTTCTCCTAGGTCTTCTCTGCTCCTACCAACACCACCCTAATTCAGGTCCTTGTTATCTCTGGCTTGTTTCAATTAATAAAGACATTTCTTAAGCACCTATACTATGTGCCAATAGGCACTGAGGATAAAGAGACCAAAGTAAAACAGTCCCTGAGTTCAAGGAGCTTAAATTCTCTTGGGGAAGGTGTTTGTGTGGGGGAGGGGGGTAACAGTATATACGAAATATGTACAAGATAGGCAGATTAGGGAGGAAGGACTCTAGCAGCTGGAGGGAACCAGCAAGCATCATACAGAAGAAAAGGTGGTGTTTGAGATGAGTCTTGGAGAAACTCCAGAGATTTGGGAGGGTGGGAGGTGGAGAAGGGAGCACTTTCGAGCTGCACGATTTATTGTAATAGCTGTAATAGCTCTTTCACTTGTCTCCTTGCCTCGAAGCTCTCTCAGCCCCAATCCATCCTTCCCACAACCGCCAAAACTCTTCCTAAAGCACAATATCCGAGGGTGCCACTCCCTTGCTTGAATAATTTCAGGATCTCTTCATTGTACATAATACAAACTGCAATCCTCTCCTCTAAACAAGTTCCCACTTCCAGTCTTTCTTCACATGTCTCCCCTTTAATCTTTCATTTAGCCCAAAATTATATGTTTTCTGAGCTCACCTTTCTTCCTCTTCCTCCCCCATACCCCCCTCCCTACCTCTGACACTCATATAGGACTGAAATGCACACCTGCCTCATTTCTGCCTGCTAACATTCTTTTCTTCCTTCAAGGCCCAGGGATCAAATGACATCTCTTCCACGAAGCTATCCTTGATTCCTCCCTGCTTAAATTGATCTCTCCCTTCTCAAATCACTGTCTGAATTTCTCTTTTGTCCCTGTTCCATGATTATTTGTATATATGTGCGTTAAGTCACATCCCCTTCCCCCAGTGAGCTCCTTGAAGGCACGCACTAAGTCTTGTCTTCCCCCCAACTTTCATCCTCAGCACAGGGTCTGGCACACAGTAGGCATTTAACAAATGTTTTCTGGAATTGGAAATTGGAAATTTGAGGGGAACTGGAATTTAAGGGATTAGAATTTAGAATTTGGAAACTGGAATTGGAACCAGCCTAGGTAGGAAAAATGGAGTAGATCAAAGCTCCTGTGACAATCAGGCTCTTTAGTGGCTGATACTCTTTCAGCCTAGGAAAGAGAACCAAAACCAATCTTAAAAAAAAAAAAAAAGGAAAGGGAAAAGGGAAAAGAAGGGGAAGGGGGTAGAGGGGAAGGAAGAAAGTGAACAACCCAAGGACTCCTCCCCTCCTTCCTCAGTGCTGGCTGGGCCCCCACTCACTGCAGGACATCTCGCTGCTCCAAGTTGTACTTGCCCCCATTCTTCATGGCTGCATTGTGCACCGCTTCAATAGCACGGTCAATGGACTGGAGGACGACATCTTGCTCTAAACCCTAGGGGAAAGGAAAGGAGATGTGGTAAGGCTAAGCCTAGGCCCTGGGAGTAATGTGTGTTTTTAGACTTCTCCTTGAAAAGGGAACAGACTTAGCCTGAGCTGTGGACCCTTGGTCTCACTAGGGTCCAGTATCAGAAGAAGTAGTGGAAAGGGCCTATAAAAGGAACAGGTAACTGGATTTGAGTCTTGGCTTTGCCACTAAGCCACTATGTGACTTTACACAACTCACTTCTCTGTGAGCCTCAATTTCATAATTTATAAAATGAACAGGCTACATCCATTGGAGAATGGCTAAGCCAATTGTAAGAGAATTACTGTAAGAAATAATGAACAGAAAAAATTCAGGTAAGGTTGGGAAGACTTCTATGAACTGATGAAGACTAGAGTAAGGAGAACCAGAAAAATAACATATACCACAACAATGTGAATGGAAAGAACAAAAAAAAGTTCTATAATTATAATGGCCAAGTCTGGTCCTGGTTGTTGTTCAGTTGTTTCAGTCATGTCCAACTCTGTGACCCCATTTGGGGTTTTCTTGACAAAGATATTGGAGTGGTTTTCCATTTCCTTCTTCCAGCTCACTTTACAGATGAGGAAAATGAGGCAAAGAGGATTAAGTGACTTTCTCAGGATCACACAGCCAGTAATTGTCTGAGGCCCGATTTGAACTTAGGCCTTTCTGACTCCAGGCCTGGCATTGTATCCATTGTACCACCTAGCTGCTCTCCTGGTCCTGGAAAGGAGTTGAAAGGATGCATTGCCCCCTCGCCCCTTCTTTTCGGATGTGGGGGACTATGGCTTTGGAATATTATATCTACTCTTAGGCCCAGCTAATGAATTAGAGTATTGGTTTTGCTGAACGGTCTTTTTTTCCTCTTTCTTTTTACATCTTCGTTCAATGGTTGGCTCATTAGGTGGGGGAAGGGATAGGGACAGATTTCAAAATAAGTTGTAAAAATGAAAAATATCCATAAAAATAAACTTTTTTTAAAAAAAGGAGATTGAAGATATTGTCTAGTCTAGGCCCTTAGTTTTTTAATCTTATTTTTCAGAATATAGGCATTCTATGTTCTAAGATCCCTCCCAACTCTGGTATTTCATGTTCCATGTACTAATGATGCCTCGTAGGTCTGATATTTGATATTTTAAAGTCTCTTCCATACAGTCTCTGCTGTACAGTGAAGAGAGGAATGGCTCTTACTCAAAAGAAATAAGCAGCGTCATGCAATGAAAAAAAACCCAGAATGAACATAGGTTATAGTCCCAGCTCTACCACTGGTTCATTGTATGTCTTTAGGTCCTCTTCCTCCTGGGGCCTCAGGTTTTCTTCCCTGTAAAATGAAAGTATTGGCCTGCACGGTCTCTAAGGTCCTTCCCAACTTCCATATTCTGAGTCTTGAAGAATGTCTAGCTAACTCTGCAGAAGGTCCAACACTGACTTCTCCCTTTTGTTCCTTACTCTTTCTCCTTCCAGTGACCCTGAGATGATCCTCAATGGTCCAAACCTCCTAGAAACACAGCCAGATATTCCTGAAGGAATCAGAAAATGTCAGGTTTGAAAAGAACCTTCAATGGCCATCTATCCAGCCCGATACTACAATATACCCAATAAAAGGTGTTCCAGCCTTGGCTTGAAGACCTCCAAGATGGGTGGGGTGGGGTGGACCCACTACCTCTTGGAGTAGCCCATTATCTGGAAGTAACCTTTAAGTAACCTCCTCTGAGAAGAGGAGATGTCCTTGACATTCAAGGCCACAGACCAAAGCTTATTCAGAGACTCATAGAGGTAGTGTGACACAGTGCATAAAGAAGCCTGGTCTGGGAGTTAGGGACCCTGGTTGTTAGGCCCAGCTCTATCATAAACTCATTGTGTGAGCTTGGGCAAGTCCCCTCCTCTCTGCAGGCTTCAGTTTTCCCCCTCTGAAAAATGGGGATGATATTCCTTTAGCTCCAAGGGTCTATCAATATTTAAATCTAGGTGCTATTGATGGAACTCACCTGTTGTGGCCCCTGATGAGAAATGAACTTCAACATTTTCATCCTTAGTGACTGGGGAAATGAATGGGAGTCACTGAAGAGGATTTAGAGAAGTAGGAAGTCTCTGGTGACCAGAGCTGAGGTTCAGGACCTGTCAAGTTACCTCTCAGAGTTCAAGGCCTTCTCTCTGACTAGACTCTGAGGGAGGAAGGGGGAGTTCAAGGTGATGTAAGACAGAAGAGTTTTGAAACAAAAGGAGACAAGGATTGGTAAGATGATATGAATGATGGAGCATATCATGGAACAGGGTTACACCATAAAGAAATGACAAATATGAAGAATTCATAAAAAACTTGGGAAGATTCCCATGAACTGTTGCAAAGGAAGTAAACAGACCTGGGAAAGCAATTTATTGGATGATGACAATAATCATATAAAGGAAAACAATACTGACAGACTGAAGAACTCAGATCAATGCAGTGTCCAATCAAGACTGCAGAGGACTCATGGTGAAGCGTGTCTCCCACCTTTTGGCAGAATGGCAGATGACAATTGGCACAGCATGATATACATTTTCAGACATAACAAATGTGCTGACATGGTTGCTTGATTATAATTATTTGTTATGAGAGAGGCTCCAAACAAGTGTTTGGGTTTGTTGTTGTTGTTGTTTTTAAGCAGAGCATCAATAAAACATTTTAAAAACAGATTAAAAAAAACAAAATGAGTTCCTTAAGGAAAGAGATGAAGCAGAGGTGAGTCTAGACCCACCACTGAGGAAACTCTTTAGGGTAATAATTCCCATTTTTAGAGTGCTTTACAAAGTGTTTTCTTCACAACCACCCTGCATTAAGCAAGCATTACCCTCATTTTACAGATGAGGAAACCTGAACCAAAGAAGAGTTAAGTGACTTGTTCAAGGTCACACACCTACCAAGTGCTGGGAGCCATAACTCAAACTTGGGCCTTCCAGATGAGCTGAAGGAAATGGAGATGTTTAGCCTGGAAAGAGAAGACTTAGGGAGGACAGGATAGCTTTTGTAAAGTACCAGAAGGGCTGTCACAGAGAAAAGGAATTAGATTTCTTCTACTTGGCCCCAGAGAACAGAGCTATGAGCAATGGAGAGAAAAGTCTCCACAGAGGTCCACTGTATGAAAAAAACTTTCTAACAGAGCTCTCTGAAAGTGGGATGGGCTACCTCAGGAAAAAGTGACCACTCCATCACTGAAGGCCTTTAAGTGGAAGTTGGATGACTGCTTGTCAAGGATGTTATCAGGGATCTCCTGCTTACAGATGACTGCGAGGTCCCTCCCACCTCTTGATTCTAAGTCCAATCATCTTTCCACTACAGGCTAATAAATGTATATCAGACAAATTGGCTCAGACAAGGGGAAAAGATGATCCTTTTAGGATCCTGGAAGGAGCCATAGCCACTGAAATCTCCAGGGAGGTGGAAGTGACTCTAAGGTCAAGGAAAGATGGTCTGAGGGGGCAGCCAGATGGAGCAGTAGATAGAGCACCAGCCCTGGATTCGGGAAGACCTGACTTCAAATCTGGCCTCAGACACTTCATAACTTACTACCTGTGTGACCCTGGGCAAGTCACTTTGCAAAAAAAAAAAGAAAGAAAAAAAAAGATCATTGAAACCCAGGGAAGAAGTCTTTGTAGCCAGATATATATGGGCCTTCATCATCCAGGAAGAGTCAGAGAACACCAGATTGATTGTAGAATCAGAACCCAGAGCAGTACTAGGCCAGAGAGAAATGGATGCAGGTACCCCCGTCTTTCCCTCTAGTGCCTCAATACCGTAACCACATTCAAAAGCAACTTCTAAGAAGACCTTCACCCCGACAAAGCTGAAGCAAGGTTGGAATGAGGCTGGGACCCAGGAGCAGTCAGGAAGTAGGACAAGGCCTCTCCTGGGTCTAGCAGCCTAGTCATCTTTGGACTTTAGTTTATGCTTCATTATCTTGGAACTTCCTCATGGGATCACAAGATTTCAAGGGGAAGGGACCTTAGAGACTACCGAGCCCAAACCCCATCTTCACCATTCTACAGATGAAAAACTGAGGCCCAGAGAGGGGAAGTAATTTGATAAAGTCACTCCATTAGTAAGTGGCAGAGTTTAATTCCTCCTGACTCCCATGTCTAGTGCTCTGCTCTTTCTACCATATCACACTGCCTCCTAAGGAAGCTGTCTTGTAAAGGTTAGTATGGTCTTGCCCTGGCCATACTGAGGGGAGAAGAACAGCTCTGGCCAGACAGATACTGAGTAAGGCTGGGGATAGTGAAATTCAGTGATTGACCCAGCTTAGAATGGGAAGAAGCCCTGGAAGAATCCATGGAGCTAGGGTTGGCAGAAGAGGGGCAAGGGCAGGATGGGAGGGCCAGGGACAGCAGAGGGTGCCGAGTCTTGCCTGTCTTTCAGAGCAAGAGACAGAGCAGCCTCACAGCACAGAGGCTGGAATGTTAACATTGCTAGGCACATCCCTGAGTATTGGACTGTTGAGAAGAAAATGCTTTGTCAACGTTAAATCACATTTATTGAGCATTTTATCATCATCATGATTATTAAAATGTCACAGATCAGAGCCTTGAATGCTACAACTCACGTCAGACCTGCAGGAGTACAGAACGCCACAACCAGTCAGAAAGAAACATCCAGAAATCCTGTTTGCTGCCACACCCTGAGCAATGAACTGGCTGAAGCCTTCCTGAAAGGCTCCCCAGGACCCCCGAGAGACACTGCCAACAGGAAGAAAAATGAGCCCTGGAGAAAAGAGGCCTCCTCAGTAGTGCCACTTCCTCTCACCCCTCAGACACCATGGGGAGTCACTGCACCACTTGGCACCACAAGCCTTAGAGGTTCCTATATCCCACCATTAACCCTCTCCCCATCGATGATCAAACCTGGCTCTCTGCACACACCCCAAAATTAAGGGATGTTAATAAAAAGTTGATTCCTAGCTTCCTTTCTTCCTCTAACCACTTCCTGCCCCCCAAGGCAAGTCTCACAATTTTGTCTTCAAATAATGACTGGCAAGACCCTAAGAGGAAGAGACATAGAGACTGAAAGACAGAGAGGAAGGAAGAGGAGGGGAGAGGAAAGAAAGTGACCTGGACTTCTGCCCTGGCACTGGGGGAGACATTGAAGGAGGAGGTACAAGCGTCAGGGTCTTATAATCTGGACCTTTTTGTCCAACTTTACTCCTCCTTTCCCCAGCTCAGTTTTAACCTCATCACCACCGGGCTGGGTGTCTGCCTGTTTCCTGAGCTCTCTAAGAATATCCTGACCTTCCCCACCCACCCCAGCTTTCCCCAGACGGCGCCAAATTGACCCACAGACCAAGACCCAGACAGACAAACAGCAGAATACCAAATCGCTAGCCAGGGAGGGGCTGCTATGTGACATTCCTTTGACAGAACTGCTCAGGGACACTGTCATAGCTATGCAAAGCAACACTCAGAAACATGCCCACACAGATACAAGCAGGGTCTCACAAACACTGTCAGTCATGACAGGGACTTTGTATGTAGCCAATGACAGCCATAGGAATATATAAGCTTACACACAATCTAGTCTTTCATTTTACAAAATGGGGAAACTGAGGCCTAGAGATGTTATATGATATACCCTCTTCTGTGAAGAGGCCTTGTACAGAAGGCCAGTATAAAAGGTTCCTCCTCCCCTCACAACCCATAGAGCTTCATGAGGGGGAAGATGTCAGAGCCAGAGGTGACCCCAGCTATTGTCAATTAGAAGCCCCAAATGAAGAATAGGTCAGATAGAATGCCAAACCACTCTCTAGCAGAGGGAACCTACTAATTACATCCTGTCCCAGCCTCCATAATGGTAAACACCAAAATTCTTCCAGGAAGTCTACTCTGATTACACGCATACCCATTCATCTACTTCTTTCCACCCATGCATATTTATGCTTCAGTCTTAAAGATTCAAGGCTTTCCAAAGGCAAGAATCATCTTCCTCAGACCAGGGCTCTCCAAGGGCATGACTTCGTCTCACAATCAGACCTGAGTCTTCCCAGTGGAGAAAGGTCTGTTCCTCAGACTGGAGGCTGAAGTGCACAACCAGCCACAGCTGCTACTTCTCCAAATTTAAAGGGTTATTTCTGTCCTGAGAGCTGGTTTGGGAATAAGATGATGCTCACTAAAGACAAGGGGCACTCCCAGTCCAACTCACAAGCCTCAAATACCAGCACCCCTTTCCTGACTCTAACTCAGAGTCAACCTCCCTTTCCCAAGGGGACTGAAGTCTCACAAGACGGGAGATGTGGAGGGGGCGGTGGAGTTTCCACCATCACCTTCCTAAGGGTCTGGGGGATAACATGGGAGTGGGGAAAGGGCTAGGAGGGATAAAATGAGAGTTGTGAACCCCTGTTGGGCTGAGAAAGCAATCCTCCTTCCATGCCACCTCCCCTCCACACAATCCCAAGAAGCCAACAATCCCCAGCACAGAGCAAAGGACCTAGCAGAGGGAGATCGGAGGAGATGCCTACCCCTCCCATGCACGCCCCCGGCCACAGCTTCCCCGGGCCCCTCCCTCTAAGCTCCGCTCACGGGGGCTCCTCGGAAGGCTAGACAGGACTGGGAGAGGAAGGGAGAAAAGCCTAGTCAGCGGAGTTGCGGCGTTGTTGGGGGTTTTTAGGGGGCGGGGCTCTTCCGAAGGAGGATGAAGAAGAAAGGAGAAACGCCGGCCTGGAGAGAGCCCAGGGATGAGGGTGACCCGGGCGCGAGGGATGTGCAGATGGGGTGCAGGGGACGAAGTGGGACCTGCAACGCAGATCCAGGCCCCGTGCGGGATGGGACCCGGGGGAGGCCAGGGAGGGAGGCCGGGCTCGGCCGGGGACGCGGGATGCGCTGGGGACAAGGGCCAGGCGCGGGAGCGGACAGGGCGGGGGCGGGCCGCAGCGAGCCGGGGGCAGGGCCAGGCTCCGGGGCAGGGCCAGCGGGCGCTGGGGGGCAGCTCTGACCTGCAGGCGCCGCAGGTAGGCCGGGGGCACGTAGCCGGTCTCCCCGCTGCGGGCCCGGGTCGCCAGCCACCAGTGCGGGCTGCTGCGCTCCAGGATCAGGAAGGTCTCCCCCTCGCCGAAGGGCAGCGAGTTGGGCTCCGACGAGCGGAAGGCGTACACCGAGCGGTACATGAGGCCTGGCCGCCGCCGTCGCGGGCTGGAGGGTCCGGGAGCCGGGAGCCGGGGACGCCGGGGTCCAGGGGCTGCCGCGCGCCTGCTCCGCCCCGTGACACAGCCGCGTGCGCGCTCCCGCCTCCCACTGCCACCCCCACTCCCGTCGCGGAGCCCCGCCCCGGGGGCGCGCCCGGCCCACGCGCGAGAGCGCGGCCACGCTGGGTCTCCCGTCTCCCCAGGCCTGGGAGTGGGCGCTTCCACGCAGCGCCGGGGCCCGCGGACCACAGGACTGTCCCGAGATTGGAATCAGGAAACGTGTGAATAATTTGGAACAATGGCAGGCAGACACACAGTCACGCAAAGGGGAGGTGCCAAAGCTAAAATGACACACTCAATTATGGGCACCCTCCCCCCTCGCGTGCCCACCCCCCCAAAGCGACCGCCAGGTACGGATACCCTTTGTGTCTACATCTATTAAGAATATCACCTTGAGCCTCCACCGAGGTATTCTCTAGCAGAGGAAATAAGCTTGACAGGTCAATTGAGGGAAGGCAGTTGATGAAAGAGATTAACAAAGTAAAATGTGCAAAGAACCTGTGATTTCTTGCAACCAGTCTGTATCTTTTTTTTTAATTAATTAATTAATTTTGAATTATCAACAATCATTTCCATAGGCTTTTGAGTTTTTAATTTTTCTCCCCCTCCTTCCCTACCTCCCTCCCCAAGACGGCACACAGTCTGATATAGGCTATACATATACATTCCTATTAAACATATTTTCACATTAGTGATGTTGTAAGTAAGAATTAGAACCAATAGGAGGAACCACCAGAAAGAGGAGACAAAACACAACAGAAGAAAAAAAAATAGCAAATAGTATGCTTCGATTTGCATTCAAACTCCATAGTTCTTTTTTTGGATGTGGATAGCATTTTCCATCATGAGGCCTTTGGAGATGTCTTTAGATCCTTGTGTTGCTGAGAAGGGTTACGTCTATCAAAGTTAGTCATTGCATAACGTGACTGTTATTGTGCACAACGTTCTCCTGGTTCTGCTCACTTCACTCAGCATCAGACCATACAAGTCTTTCCAGGTTTTTCTGAAGTCTGCCTGCTCATCATTTCTTACAACACAATAACATTCTATTACATTCATATACCACAACTTGTTCGGCCATTCCCCAACTGATGGACATCCTCTCAATTTCCAATTCTTTGCCACCACAAAAAGAGTTGCTATAAATATTTTTGTACATGTAGGTCCTTTCCCCATTTGTATGATCTCTCTGGGATATAGCCCTAGAAGTGCTATTGCTGGGTCAAAGGGTATGCACATTTTGATAGCCCTTTGGGTATAGTTCCAAATTGCTCTCCAAAATGGTTGGATCATTTCATAACTCCACCAACGATGCATTAGTGTTCCAATTTTCTCACATCTTCTCCAACATTTATAATGTTCCTGTTTTGTCATGTTGGCCAATCAGTCTATGTGTCAATAGACTGAATCCCAGGTAGCTACTCATGGTACATAAAGATTAACACAAGGGCATGCAGCTAGGGGGCACAGTGGATAGAGTTCATGAATTAAAATCTTTGCTGTTGCTGCTATACATTGGAGGGGTAGCAGATGGCACAGTAGGTAGAATGTCAGGCGTGGAATCAGGAATGTCTGAGTTCAAATCTGGCCTCAGACACTTACTAGCTGTGTGACCTTGGCAAGTCACTTAACACTGTTTGCCTCAGTTTCCTCATCTGTCAAATGAGCTGGAGAAGGAAATGGCAAACCATTCCAATATCTCTGCCAAGAAAACCCTCCCCCCAAATCGCACTCAACTGAACAATAACAACATATGGTTATTAACTATCAAATAGCAAGATTTGAACCCAACTATTACTGACTACAAACCCAGCATGCTATCAAGTACACCACACTGCCTCCTGCTAGGCAAAGAACAATAATAATAATAACTATCATTTATATAGCACTTTTAAAGTTTGCAAAGCACTTTATAAATATTAGCTCATTTTATCCTTACAACATCCTGAGAGGTAAGTGCTATTATTATCCCCATTTTACAGATGCAGAAATTGAAGCTGAGAGATTAAGGGATTTGCCCAGGGCTACATAACTGGTCAGGCAGCTAGATGGCTCAGTGGATAGTGCATTGGGCCTGGAGTAACGAAGATGAGTTGCAATCCATTTTCAGACACTTACCAGCTGTGTGACCCTGGACAAGTTATTTAACCTCTATTTACCTTAATCTAAATCATTCCAGTATCTTTGCCAAGAAAACCCAATGGACAGTACTGGCATGGTTCACAAGGTCACAAAAAGTCGGACGCAACTGAACAACAACAACACGCCTAGTAAGTAAGTGTCTGAGGCAGAATTCCAACTTAGGTCTTCTTGACTCCAAGAACAAGGTAAAATCCGATTCATTCACACATGGAGATGGCACCAAAACTAAACCTTAAAAAGATTTTAAGAGGAGATTCATAAAGCACATTGGTATTCTTAAAGCATAGGTCTGACTGCATCATCCCCTTACTTGAGAAGCTCCAGGAGCTGATTATTGCCTCTAGGAAAAAATTCACTTTAAGCCCTTCATTGACTGTCTTTCCAGAAAAAAACTATTGGATGTGTTCTGAATATATCTCCCATGCCTGGAATGTTCTCCTTCCTCACCTCTTGGAATCCCTAGATTTCTCCAAGGCTTAAATGTTACCTCCTACATGAGGACTTTTCTTTAACTCATCTCAACATGTTGTATTCTTCCACCAGAATATAAGCTTCTTGAGGGCAGAGACTTTTTTTTTGTATCCTTGATATTTAGTACAGTGCCTTTCATATAGTGTACACTTAATAAATACTTGTTCAGTTAAGGTGATGAGGAGGGAGTGGTTTCCAGACATGGTAGACAACTTGTGCAAATATGCAGAGTCAGGACATGAAGGATTGAATTCTGGAAATACGTAGTAGTCTAGTTGGACTGGAATATACAGTACATGAAGGGAGATAATGAGGAAATAAGGCTGGTAATGTAGGTTGGAGCCAGATTATGGAGGGCGTTGAAAGTCAATCCAAAGAATTCATATTTTATCCTAGAGGCAATGGAGATCCCCAGGGAAATAACATTTTCAGACTTGTACATTGGAAAGATTATTTTAGAAGCTCTGTAAATGATGGACTGGATAAAGGAGAGACTTGAAGCAGGAAGACTAGTTAGGAGGTTATTACAATAGTGAAAGTAAGAAGTGATGCAGACTTGAGCTAAGGTGGTGGGTTAAGTGAGTAGAGTGAAGGGAATGGATGTAAGGGATGTGGAAATAGAACTGACAAGACTTAGCCAATATTTAGATGGATCCAGGGAGGGGTAGGGAGGAGTTAAAGATGACTGAGCAGATATCAGTGCCTTTAACAGAAATAGTAGGGTTGAGAGAAGGGGTAGTATAATGAAATTAGGTATATATTGAGAGTTGTGGTACCTTCTGCATGTACCATCCTGGAAACATGCCCAAGTAATTGAGCCCATGGTAGAGAAAACACTCTGTGGTGCAAACACCTGACTGAGCTCCAGCCAAGTCCCCTTTATGAGTTCCTTTGCCTAGCATCCCCATTTTGCCACTCGCCCACTAAAAGGGCAGGTTCATCAATTCTAAAAGAACCCAGACCTGTGTGGAGCAAAGATACGGTGCTGGCAATTGCATCCTAAGGAGCCGGTAGGTGGGGCAGTGGATACAATGCTGGACCTGGGGTCAGGACCTGTGTATACAGTCAGACTATGTTAAGTCCTGGAGGACCATGGCCTCTAATGACATGAGAGCAAGACTTCCTTTTTTCACCCTGTCTGGTTTGTTAAGCCTCCACTCTGATGCTATGGGACCAAATTATTTAAAGCTTAGGTTTTGGTTCATGTCTAGATTTCCCTAGGAGGTTGGAGTGGGGAATAAAAAAAAAATGTATTCATTGCACAATATGAAACAGGTATGATGCAAATATATATTTTTTTGTTAGGCAATTGGGGTTAAGCAACTTGCCCAGGGTCACACAGCTAGTAAGTGTCAAGTGTTTGGTCTGAGGCTGGTTTTGAATTCAGGTCCTCCTGACTTCAGGACCAGTGCTTTATCCGCTGCACCACCTAGCTGCCCCATTACTGAGGTGGTAACTTTTTTTTTCCTTTGGCTAGGCAATGGGGTTAAGTGACTTGCCCATAGTCACACAGCTAGTGAGTGTTATGTGTCTGAGTTTGGATTTGAACTCAGGTCCTCCTGAATCCAGGACCAGTGCTCTATCCACTGTGCCACCTAGCTGCCCCGAAAATATTTCTTTTTAAATTAAATTTTATTTTTTTCAATTATCAAGCATTTATTCTTTTCTTCTTCTAATCTCTCTTCCCCCTGATAAAACAAACAAAAAAAACCCCAACATAGTCAAGCAAAACAAATTCCCATAATTGCCATATTTAAAGATGTAGCTCTCATTCTGCATATTAGTTCATTAGTTCATCATCTCTCTGTCATAAGATGTGTAGCAATCTTTATCACTGGTCCTCTGGAATCATAGGTGATCATTGTATTGATCACAATGCTTAAATCTCTTAAAATAGTTCTATTTTGCAATATTACTATTATAACATAAATTGTTCTCCTTTCTACGCATTTCACTCTGGATCAGTTCATATAAATCTTCCCATGTTTCTCTGAAATAATTTTTCTTCCTTCTTTATAATACAATAGTATTCCATTATACATCTATACCATAATTTATTCATCCATTCCCCAACTGATGGGCACCTCCTTAGTTTTCAGTACATTCCTACTACAAAAAGAGTTGCTATAAATATTTTTGTATATATAGGTCCTTTTCTTCTTTCTTTAATCTCTTTGAGGTATAAGCCTAGTAATGGTATCACTGTGGCAGTGGATACAGACAGGGAAGAGAATAAACATATGTTAAGTGCCTACTAGGTACTAGGCACTGTGCTAAAGGCTTTTGTTTTTTTTTACAAACATTATTTCATTTGATCCTCAGAACAACCCAGG